GGCCTTATGCAAATTAAATCAACAGCCTCCTGGCATTTGTTCATTCTCCCTCCCCACCTTTGACCTGGATTTTGGATGCCACACAAGCAGAAAAGCAGACCAGTCGACAACTGTGCCAATGAAAGGAAAGAGCTGAGATGCCCATTGCTTTGATTGGTCTTCAGTGGGGAATGGATGGAGCCCAGGACTGCTTCGTGGCTGAGTGAGGATTCGAACCCAAGGCCCTCCTGTTCTAGCACTGGCACTGTTGTGAGTTTGTGAGGGGCCAGATCCCCCCTAAATTCCTGGGTCTGATAAAAGCTAGAATGAATCAGTGCTTGTTGGGTTAAGCTGGAAGCTTTCCGTGACCAGGTGGTCACGGAAAGGTGGAGGAGGAGCCATTGAGAAGAACCATCAAGAGGTCATTACTGAAGTGACCAAGTCATGGACCTAGTGAAACAGAGAGGGAGAGAAACCGTCAGCAAGGCTATGTGCCCCATCTTGCGCTCCGAGTACTTAGCAAAACACAATGCCAGAGCGGAGTGGGAGAAGTCTCAGGTTGGCAGTTTGGGTGATGTAAGAAAACAGGAGACAAATATCCATTTTGCAAGTTGGGGTGGGGGGCAGAGAGAAGGAGGGCTGTCTGTTTTATGCTGCACAGAGGGTCAGACACGATGTTTGGGGTCTCTTGGAATCTGAGACGGCAGCACTGGAAGGAACAAGACCTCCTGGAATGCGAATGCCATCTAGACCAATCTCGCAATCTAGACCCAGGTTGTATACAGTTATACCTTGGTTTACAACCGTAATCCGTTCCGGAGGTCCAGTTGTAAACCAAAGCAGGTTGTAACCCAAGGCGTGCTTTTGCCACTGGGGCCTCAAAAAAAAAATGGGTTGTAATCCAAAAAAATAATGGGTTGTAATAATAAAAAAGGGACATACACTTCAGGGTTTGACATGCTTGTAATCCTAAATGGTTGTAAGCCAAAACTGTTGCAAACCAAGGTACTACTGTATACAGCAGTACCTTGGTTTAAGAACAGCCCTGTTTACGAACTATTTGGTTTACGAACTCTGCAAAACCGGAAGTAGTGTCCCGGTTTGCGAACTTTACCTCGGTCTACGAATGGAAGCCAAACAGCGGAAGGGCACCGGCGGCGGGAGGCCTCATTAGGGAAAGTGTGCCTCGGTTTAAGAACTGTTTCGGTTTAAGAACAGACTTCCGGAACAGATTAAGTTCGTAAACCAAGGCACCACTGTTTGTGCAAATAAACCGTATAACATAAAGACCCCACAGTCTCCGCTGAGCCTCCTTGTCCAAAAGGAAACACAGACCCCCCTGGATCTCGCAAGGCTTGGAAATCAGGGTGGTGGGTGGGTGGGTAACAATATTTAAAGGCACCATGCATTAGACTCTTCCTACATTGCTTTGTATCCATTTGGATGGAGGTAGATCAGTTCCTGGGGTTGCCATGCAGGAAGGCAGATTATATTTGCTGGATTTAATTTTTAAAAATAGTTTTAAAGCTGCTTGTGCTTTTGGCATCTCCAGTGAACTAATGTCCTTTGCCTGGAGTATATTTTCAACCATCCACCCTACCATTATTTTGTTATTATAAATAATTACATTCTGGCCCACTCTCCTTCCAAATACTCATGACAGCCTTGCAAGCTCAGCTCGGCTGAGAGACTGTGACTGGCGATTCATGTCTAGGGCTTGGAACTGGGGTCTCGCTAGTTCTAGTCTGACGCTACTCTAACCACTACACTGCACTACCTTCCTGCCAACATTCCCACAGAGCTGAGCACTGGGCAGATTTGGAAATGTCTCCTCCCACACCAGCTGGGGAAGCTTCATCCTCTGTTACCTCCGAGGATGTAGACAGGCTGCCTGCGCAAGTAGAACCAACAGCCTGTCTTCTCAGCCCTTGTCCATCCTGGCTCATAAAAGCGAGCTGGGCAGAGATTGGCAACGGGCTCCATGGGGTGGTGAACGCTTCCCTCTGTGAGGGAGTCTTCCTGGAGCCCCTTAAAGAAGCAGTTATTAAACCATCTTTGGACCTGGCCACTATGGCCAACTATTGCCCAGGATCCATTCCTGGGCAATGCAATCAAGCAGAGAGTCGTGGAAGAACTCCAGGCATGTCTGGAGGATGCAGACCATTTATTTATTCATTTTTTTAAAAAATATTTTTATTAGGAATTTCAACAAGACATTTTATCAAAAAAGACACATCAATTCCCTCCCATTTCCCCCCTCCCCATAAAGTAACCCACCCTCCCCTCCCTCCCTGACTTCCCTCAGCTCCTCTCTCTGGTTTATCAACAAATGTTATTCTCTGCATGTTACACAATTGTATAGATCCTTAATTTATCTGACTGGCTATTGTCAATAAAAAGTTTGTGATTGTTTAATCAAAACCTGCCAAGGAGTTCAGTTCATTTTGTTGTTTCTTTAAGTACTTTGTAAAAGGTTCCCATTCATCTTTAAAGTCACAGTTATCCTTGTCCCGTAGTTTGTGTGTCAGTTTTGCCAATTCTGCGTAGTCCATCAGTTTCTCTTGCCATAATTCTTTAGTCAGGATTTTGTCATTCTTCCATCCTTGTGCTGTTAAGACTCTTGCCGCCGTTGTCGCATACAAAAAGATATTTTTCACTTTCCTTGGCAGGTCTTTTCCTGCAATCCCTAAGAAAAATGCTTCAGGTTTTTAAACAAATGTTAGATGGAACATCTTCTTCAGCTCGTTGTATATCATTTCCCAAAACTTTCTAATTTCATTACAGTCGAGGATGCAGACCATTTAGACCTCTTCCATTCAGGTTTCAGGCCCCAAAGTGTCTGTTTTGGGTGATGTCACAGTTCCTCATAGCATCCTCTCGCTCATGCCCACAGCTACTGTGTCATTGCAGCAGGGACCAGGGGACGGCACATATAATGTGGCTTCTGAATACAGTGGTACCTCGGGTTACATACGCTTCAGGTTACATACACTTCAGGTTACAGACTCCGCTAACCTAGAAATAGTGCTTCAGGTTAAGAACTTTGCTTCAGGAGAGGAACAGAAATCGTGCTCCGGCGGCATAGCAGCAGCAGGAGGCCCCATTAGCTAAAGTGGTGCTTCAGGTTAAGAACAGTTTCAGGTTAAGAATGGACCTCCGGAATGAATTAGTAAGTACTTAACCTGAGGTACCACTGTATATATTTCTTTTTCACCTCCCAGGAAATCCTCCTCAGTGGCCTTTCCTGGTAAGTGGTTGCTTATGATTTTGTCCATCTCTTACCTGTCCCAAATGTGCAAAGAATTACCATGATCTTGCTTCAAAACATGGACATGTGCATCATGCCATGGAGATTGCAACCCTTTTGTGGACGGACACCTCTCCTGTACTGTTTAAATCCTGTGATTTAAACTGCCAGCCAGGACAACCCATCAAAATAGGTACCAAACAAAAGAGGCTTTCAGATCCTTTTGACACAGGCACCAGAATTTCCCCTTTTCTCCACAGCAAATGCAGGACAGCAGGATGTACCAATTTTTATAAAATACACGTGGGGAACCTCAGTCCAGAAAGCCAAATGTGGTCCCCAAGACTCCTTTGTGTGGCCCTCAATAGGTTTCCTAGCCACACACCCCTCACTGCTCCGATTTCACATCTCCAAGTGTTCTTGCCCAATGCCACCTGCTTGTCTACAGCAGAGGTTTTCAACCTTTTTGAATCCACAGCTCCCTTGACCAACTACGTTCTTTCTGTGGCACCACTGTGGAGCTCAGGAGTTGTCACCCTGAAATATACTCGGAGTCAAGAGTGGATTTCATGCTCTTTATTCAGCTCATAGTGGTGAGGAGGAATGGAAGTTCCCCCAGAATGTCTGCTTTATATACATTATTTACACAATGGGCCCCAAGTGATTGGCTAATTCTGGGATTCTCCTGTAGGCCAATCAGATTGCGGATTCACTTCCACCTGGAGCTGGATTGGGTGGCTCCTGTGGACCAATCAGACTGCTGCATTCTGGATCCTATTGTTCTAGGACCAATCAGACTACTGCATTCTGAATCCTATTGTTCTAGGGCCAATCAGACTGCTGCATTCTGAATCCTATTGTTCTAGGACCAATCAGACTGCTGCATTTTGGATCCTATTCAACTCAGTACATAACACACCCCTTGCCTGCATCTCACCCTTTTTAAAAGTGTTCCTTAAGCTTCCTCTCTCCTCTCCTTGGGAGTCCTCTGGGTTGTCGCTACAACCCCTGGTTTCTGAGCTGCCACCCCCTGCCCCAAAGTGAGGTTTGCCCCACAAGGTCCTGGGAAGAGGATACCCCCAGCCTTAGTGGCCCAACAGAGACTGGCCAAAGATGAACATAAGACCAGCACCTTATCTTGGGAGGCAACAGTGGCCGCTGCCAGGTCTGCATGGCTGAGAGGCTTCAATACAGAATACCTCTGTTCATCTTATTGTAGTTGTAGCATATGGATTGTAATGTGTGAAGTTTATATAGTTTTCATGTACACAGGTCATTGTTTCATATTTGAATTCTCTTTTAGTTGTGCTGAAGATTCCCGCGAAACAGTCAGATTATCTGGGATCACTGTCCGTTTTTATTCACCTACTACTTCGGCACCATAAATGCCTAAAAAAAGTTTTACCGCTTAGCCCACAGGATAGCATCCATTACTTTGTTTCAACCATAGACTTATTATACTTCTGCAGACTTTCAAAGATTGACAGACGTGTGTTCAATTGATTTCAAATATATTAGAGAATTTACAAGTGCACACAGAGTCGGCCACAACTGGACCTAATGGTCAGGGGTCCCTTTACCTTTACCTAGAAAATACCCTACTGTTCAAAGGCAATATTTATATTTGTTGCCCCGCCCACTTTTGCCTCTGTCTCCACCTACCATGGTCATGTGGGCCACAGAAGGCTCTCCAGCAGGGAACAAGGCTCCTAGACTCAAAAATATTCCCCCTCATTGTTACAAACTAAAACCATGCAGGCTGTTTGAAGAACAGATGAGTTTATTCAGACTTGTTGCTGGACTACAGGGATGCAGGGCGAAATTAGAGAAATTTGAGGGCTCTGATTCTGAAGTCTCCTTCCACCTTGATGTAGCTGATGGTCTTCAGGCCCAGCCGGTTGGGGAAGGTGAACTCGTGACCTTCTGCCAGCTTCACCTTGATCTCCGCAGAAAGAAAAATGAAGGAAAGCTGGAAGAAGCAGGAGGAGGAGTCATGAGAAAACCAGTACACTAAACACTTTACATGCCCTGAAAGACTAAAAGGAATGGCAACTACTGCATAGACATTGGGCATTCAGCATTTCCATTTCCTGTCTGAGGCTGCTTCTACCCAAGTGCTTTACATTTCAGTTGAGTCTGAGGCACTTCAGAGCCCAAGGACCAGAGTTGCCTACCATGGGTAGGCAAACTAAGGCCCGGGGGCCAGATCCGGCCCAATTAAGGTACATTTTTTTTCCAGGGCCTCCTCCAAGCTTGGAGTGGAGCTGATACAGAATGCAGAGCTAGAGATAAGAATCACAGGAGGGAAAGAACCTGTGTGCAGAAAACTAGCTTCTCAGGGAAGGCCAGGCTAGAATACTTATATGCTAGTTATCTATAGGCAAAGGTGAGCTGGCCTGTGCATGCACGCACACACACACACACACACACACACACACACACATATATAAAGCACAGAAGCCTTATTCAGTCAAGCCAGTCTTCAATCACCTGCATTCCAGTTCTACACATATAAATTGAATTTTTTGAAAGGAGGAAGGTCCTCCTTCCACACCCTCTAAGGCAGGCAGCCCCAAACTCGGCCCTCCAGATGTTTTGGGACTACAATTCCCATCATCCCTGACCACTGGTCCTGTTAGCTAGGGATGATGGGAGTTGTAGTCCCAAAACATCTGGAGGGCTGAGTTTGGGGGTGCCTGCTCTAAGGAAAAGATTCGAGATGTTCAGGTATTGCTCCCATGCCTGACCATTGGCCATACTGGCTGGGGTCGATAGGAGTACAGTAGTAGTAGTAGTAGTAGTAGTAGTAGTAGTAATAATAATAATAATAATAATAATAATAATAATTTATACCCCACCCATCTGGCTGGGCTTCCCCAGCCACTCTGGACAGCTTTCAACAAAATATTAAAATACAGTAATGCATCAAATGTTAAAAGCTTCCCTAAAGAGGGCTGCCTTCAGATGTCTTCTAAAAGTCTGGTAGTTGTTGTTACCCTTTGACATCTGGTGGGAGGGCGTTCCACAGGGCGGGTGCCACTACCGAGAAGGCCCTTGCATGAACGCTGCAGGCCACTCATGTCCTCTGCAGAGTAGCCACTCCCCTGCCTGCTCCATTTGCACACAGATCTTTGATAAGACTGCCACACCCTCACCTGAACTTTGGCACCTTGTTCGAAAGGGAAATCGGTGATTCTCTGTTCTTTCCCCCAGACGCTGTCCTGCAAGGAGTTGCACACGATGGTGTTCAAAATGGTGTTCTCGTCCGTCTGGTAGTCAAAGCGGGCGTTGAAGTGAAGAATGAGGTTGTCACGATCACGGCCCAGATGCACAACAAAACTTGAAGAGGATGGAAGTTATGGAAAACAAGAGGGTGGAGGTTAAGGCTTCCTGGACTTCTGTATAAACAAACAACAACTATGCAGCCCCTCTCCTGGGCATCTTGCCTGTATTGCCAAACAGTGAGAACATTTAGTGCTGTATTTGGGCTTCATGAGAACAGTAGCTTTATAAATAAATAAAAATAAAGCATAGTTCTAGTGCTCATGATGCAAGAGAATCACACAGGAATTAGCAACCTAGAGCAGCATTCAGTGGTACCTTGGGTTAAGTACTTAATTTGTTCTGGAGGTCCATTCTTAACCTGAAACTGTTCTTAACCTGAAACACCACTTTAGCTAATGGCTGCCGCTGGAGCACGATTTCTGTTCTCATCCTGAAGCAAAGTTCTTAACCCAAGGTAATATTTCTGGGTTAGCAGAGTCTGTAACCTGAAGCGTATGTAACCTGAAGCGTATGTAACCCGAGGTACCACTGTATAGACCGGAGTTTCCCAAACTTGGGTCTCCAGCTGTTTTTGGACTACAATTATCACTCATGGGTCCTGCTAGCTAGGGATGATGGTAATCCAAAAACACCTGGAGACCCAAATTTTGGAAACCCTGATATAGACTGTTGGGGTGGCAGGATGGACCCCCAAATCTGCTTCCTTCCCCCATGGCTCTTAAGTGCCTGAACTCAGTGGTACCCCAACATTTCCCCTCCCCTCATGGGTCACTTTAGAATCACCACAGGTCCGCATAGAGAACTTAGTGATTGTTTTTCTGCGTGTTGTAATGTGCTGCAACAGGTGCTGTAGGATTTTGAATTGCGTTTTTACAGACAGGCTGTGTGCCGCCTGAACGAAGCTCACAGATCAGAGTTTGGAGAGCCCTGTCATGCAACAGGAGTCACAAAGTGTGCAGTATAGGATTCTCCACATTCTATCCTGGGACACGGGTGGCGCTGTGGGTTAAACCACAGAGCCTAGGACTTGCCAATCAGAAGGTCGGCGGTTCGAATCCCCGCGACGGGGTGAGCTCCCGTTGCTCGGTCCCTGCTCCTGCCAACCTAGCAGTTCAAAAGCACATCAAAGTGCAAGTAGATAAATAGGTACCGCTCCGGCGGGAAGGTAAACGGCGTTTCCGTGCGCTGCTCTGGTTCACCCAGAAGCTGTACGCCGGCTTCCTCGGCCAATAAAGCAAGATGAGCGCCGCAACCCCAGAGTCAGCCACGACTCGACCTAATGGTCAGGGGTCCCTTTACCTATTATACTAACGGAAGCCATACTGATATGCACAGCTTGGGGGGCAAGCAGGTGAGATAGCAACTTCTCTGTACTCCAAAGCAGTAATATGAATGCACCACAAGAGTCTCAAGACGCTTTCCTCCTTCTCAACTTACTCTTTGGCATCCGGCGAGATCCTCCCTTTCACTTGGACAGTGTCTCCGTGCATAAGGACAAAATCCGTCGCAACCAGCCCCTAGGGAAGAGGGAAACATGTCTTCAGCTACGATGGTGGAATGGGGAGATTTAGGAGGGAAAGGGGCAAGAAAGTGAAGGCTCTTACATTCATTGGCTTGGCGTGAAACCGGGTCCATGGATCAATGAGGGCACTTCCTAATACCTATGGGACAGGATAAGAGGAAAGAGTCACCAATAAATCAATAGACAGAAGCACAGAGCATTTCATTTGCTACAGCCAGTGTTGGGAATACAAGGGTTGCCAGATCTTTAGGACTAGCAGCTTGCTAGTCCCACACAGCAAGCAATTACTTCTCCCTCCTGCCATGTTATTCCCAGTAAAGGAAGGGACCCCTGACCGTTAGGTCCAGTCGTGGCCGAATCTGGGGTTGCGGCGCACATCTCACTTTATTGGCCAAGGGAGCTGGTGTACAGCTTCCGGGTCATGTGGCCAGCATGACTAAGCCGCTTCTGGCAAACCAGAGTGGCACACGGAAACACCATTTACCTTCCCGCCAGAGCGGTACCTATTTATCTACTTGCATTTGACGTGCTTTCAAACTGCTAGGTTGGCAGGAGCTGGGACCGAGCAACAGGAGCTCACCCCGTCGCGGGGATTCGAACTGCCAACCTTCTGATTGGCAAGTCCTAGGCTCTGTGGTTTAACCCACAGCGCCACCCGCGTCCCTCGTTATTCCCAGTAGCAACCTCCAATTAAAAGTGCTGCTTTCACTAACTCTTATAGGGAAGCCTAAAGATACTGTAAACAAACCACAGATGATTATTTTTTGCATACTCACTCAAACACATGAATGAATGGATTTTATTATTTCGGTCACAGACCAGTTCCAGCCCACATACAATATCAAGGAAAACATCAAACACGATGGGGATACATTTGAATTTGCAATTGAGGTATAGCAGGGACAATACAGATATAGCAACAGTTAAATATATATATAAATTAAAACTTAATCACTAACATATAACCTAAAATTATCATTTAAAACCTTATTATAATAGCACAGCTTGTTCCCCAAGTTTTACGGCAATCGCACAGAATTTGGCTACCCTTAACGTGATCTCAGGATCCTTGTCCTCTACCAGGGATTTTAGACATTGAAGTTCGGATTCATTTGGAGATTTTTCTCAAACACATGTTGCCAAGCCCTCTTCAAATCTTGCCTTTTCTGTGAGGCCTCAACACCCACCCCTTCTAGAAAGACTTTCAGTATGCTGAACTGCATCCGCCTCCTATATTACACTCATCTCTCTCACAGGCGGACCTTTGATTGTAAGCTCTGCAGGGCAGAGACCAGTTCCCCCCCCCTTTATGCTAGAAAGCACAACTGTATGGATAGCACACCATCATCATCATCAACAACAGAGGACAGCCCTACTAATGATGCACCAAGAATAGATTTCCAAGAACCCCAAAGCAAGAGAAAAAGATAGAAGTCAAACATGCAATAGCGACACACACAAAATGTGCTTGTTTCCCAGCTGATACACCGTTTCCCAAAGAGACCTATTGATGCTTACAAGTTTCTGGCCTTGTTTAGGTCCTGCTACTTGTAAAACAATCTCAATCTCAATAATCTAAGAGCAACAATAAAGAGGACTCACAGGATCCATGATGCAATCTCGCTCGGGTCCAGCGACGCCTTCTCCCTTCCAGCCTCAGTTCTGTGCCTCAGCAAAAGAAGTACCAGCCTGCTACCTTGAAAAAAGAAATTGCCCCCTAGTGCCTTTAAGTAGCTGGGGGGAATTGCACCACCTGACAAAAAGGGTCTGCTGTGACTGGAGCTCTCTAGAAATGCAAGGAGGAGGAAAATCAAGGGTCAACAAGCAACACAGCTGGCCTGCTTTGAATGCAGGAGAACAGTGATTACACTGGGGAACAAATTTTTTGTTGCATTGACACCTGCAGTTGTTCTAACCTAATTTCGATGTGCTGATTCTGAAATCTGAAGTTGGTTTTGTTCTGTAAGCTCTAGTTTTTTTGCAATTCATGTTTCTCACCTTTCACCATTATCTTTGTTTTTCACAATGCAAGAATTCAATATTTTATTAAACACATAGCCAAAGCAGTACAATATGAGTATAAATGTAAGTGACTTATATAGTGTTAAACATGACATGTATGGCATTGAAAATGACATGTATATCTATGGAGGTATGCAAAAAAAAATGTATTCCCTTGGGATACACAGTATACTGGGGAACAAAAAAATTTCCATTTTCTTTTGCATGAGATTTTTCAACTGTTCATATATGCTCTTTCAATGCTGATTTCAAATCTGAAATCGAATTTCATGTACATGCTATAGACACATTTTTATCTACTTGAAGAAGCCATGGTCCGATCTGAAAAATACAAATATTTTGGTTAAAAAACTGTAAAAATAAAGATAAATTAAGTTTGCAATACAATAATTACCATGTGGTTTAGGGTAGATCAACGTGTCAGTGTGCATTTATCCCCAGTGTAAATATGACATATCAGCAAAAGTCGGAAATTGAAAGATAACTATAGCATGTACACAGAAATCGGTTTCAGATTTGAAATCAGCATTGAAAGAACATATAAGAACAGTTGAAAAATCTCATGCAAAAAAAATGAGAGAAAAAAATGTTCCCCAGTGGCTGGTGCTATTTCTTCCTGCTGTCCTTCATTCACCTGGTACCCTCCAGATGCTATGGCGGCCGCAGCTCCCATCAGTATTAGTCCTCACCTGTGCAGGTTGGGGTGATGATAGCTGTGGTCCAAAACATCTGGAGAGGACATCCTTGCCCCCACTCTTCCTCCAAGAAACCCAGGATGGCGTACATAGTTTCCTCTCATTCACATCACAACATTAGGCCAGCAGGCAACTGAGCCAATGGAAAAGGAGGAGTTAGAGCAGGGTCTCCCAAACTTGGGCCGCCAGCTGTTTTTTGGACTACAACTCCCATCATCCCTAGCTAGCAAGACCAATGGTTAGGGATGATGGGAAATGGAGTCTGAAAACAGCTGGAGACCCACGTTTGGGAAACACCCTGTTAAAACACCTTTATTGGTCTTCAGTGTGGAAGGGCTGGAGCAGGAGTCAGCAAACTTTTTCAGCAGGGGGCCGGTCCACTGTCCCTCAGACCTTGTGCAGGGGCTGGACTATATTTGTTGGGGGGAAAGGAACGAATTCCTATGCCCCACAAATAACCCAGAGATGCATTTTAAATAAAAGGAACCCAGGACTCACCTGTCCCAGCCTAACATGACTCTAACCACTACACCCCATTGGCTTCCTTTGAACAAATATATTGTGGCATAATATTTTATAAATATAAAGATCATAAATACAAACATTTCTATATATACAGATTATTTTTTGGAGAAGAAAATATTGGGTTGCATCTCATGTTAGTCCAATGCTGGGGGGGGGTGTGCGCATTGTAATTAATTGACATTGTTGACAGGTTCATTAATTTCTCCTCATAGTTGGAGACAGACTCTTTACGTAGACCCAGTGCAAGAGGCAGCAGCAAAAAAAGTGTCAGCAGCAATCTAGCAGCAATGTGAATCGGCTTGAAAGGCATCTTCAGAGACCATTAAAAATCCCTCTGCCCTCGTGGGGTGCTGTTGCATCAGCTGTTGCAGATTCTGGAGCTGCCAGTTTTTCCAGTCAGGTTCTGCGGCTGTGCCTTTAACAGAAGCTGTTAAATGCAGCAACTGGGAGGTCAAAATGGCTTATCTCCCTGCTGTGGAAACCTCCGCCTACTCATTCATATAGTTCAAGGCATTTTTAAAGACACATCCGGACAGTTTCCTAAGAATAGAGTCACAAGTGTCCTTGCCCGGTAAACATTTGTTTGTGATTTTGTTGCTTGCATATGCATTCACAAAGTGACTACCTGTCCCAATTCTGCAAAGGAGAAAATCATTCCTATGCTCTTCCCTCAAAGATGGTCAGGTGAATTATTCCTTTAGGTTAGCCCTTTTGGGGACAGAAACCTCCCCTGCACAACTTTGGTGACCTATAATGTTCTACTGAAACAGGGACAGATGCAGATGAAACTCAAGACCTGTGTTTTTGTATTTTTAGCTGTAAGCTGTCTGAAGAAAAGGCAGGATTGAAATAATATTATGGTTATTGTTGTTGTTGTTGTTTAGTCGTGTCCGATTCTTCGTGACCCCCTGGACCAGAGCACGCCAGGCACTCCTGTCTTCCACTGCCTCCCGCAGCTTGGTCAAAGTCTTGCTGGTACTTTCGAGAACACCGTCCAACCATCTCGTCCTCTGTCTCCCCTTCTCCTTGTGCCCTCCATCTTTCCCAACATCAGGGTCTTTTCCAGAGTCTTCTCATGAGGTGGCTAAAGTATAGGAGCCTCAGCTTCACGATCTGTCCTTCCAGTGAGAACTCAGGGCTGATTTCCTTCAGAATGGATAGGTTTGATCTTCTTGCAGTCCATGGGACTCTCAAGAGTCTCCTCCAGCACCATAATTCAAAAGCATCAATTCTTCGGTGATCAGCCTTCTTTATGGTCCAGCTTTCACTTCCATACATCACTACTGGGAAGACCATAGCAAGGTGATATCTCTACTTTTTAAGATGCTGTCTACGTTTGTCATTGCTTTCCTCCCAAGAAGCAGGCGTCTTTTAATTTCGTGGCTGCTGTCACCATCTGCAGTGATCATGGAGCCCAAGAAAGTAAAATCTCTCACTGCCTCCATTTCTTCCCCTTCTATTTGCCAGGAGGTGATGGGCCCAGTGGCCATGATCTTCGTTTTTTTGATGTTGAGCTTCAGACCATATTTTGCGCTCTCCTCTTTCACCCTCAATAAAAGGTTATTATGGTTATTGTGATTATATATATCAATTAAAGCTCTGCAGAGTTCTGCAGAACTACCTTTTATTTTCTGGGATCTAATTGCACAGACCAAATCCCTTCTGTTTATTCATTTAAATGTTTGTCCCTGTTATTAATTGTGCGAGCAGCTGAAGGGAGCGAAGAGACGCTTACGGCAGAATCAAGACCCCTGTTTCCATCTGAGGCTGGTGGCATCACACCAGGCGGCTGGTTGTCACTTTGAATCTTTCCATTGATATAATTTCTCGATTTTGCAAGCTGTGCTGTCAAGGAAAGGAGCTGGCGTGTTAATACAGCTTGTTGGAAATGTGGAGCATCAAAGGATGTTATTTGGCTGCCGTCTTAACTGTACTTAAGAGGAAATAAGAATCACTGAAGTCAGGGGAGGATTTACTTCCAGGAAAGACTGAGAATAAGTGGATGCTGTCAGACAGGTAAAGAGTCTTTGCATGAGGCCTGATAGCAGCAGAGGCATACTGCTGTAAGCATTAACTTTTGTGTAAGCTATTGTTTTCTGATTTATTGGCCAAGTGGCCCCAGAGCAGGGTCCTTTAAAAATCGCTGGACAGGGTCTGCTGCCAAGTGTGGTGTTATATGCTTATAGCATTAGAGGAAATAATGGAGAGTCAAAATCCATTCCTAGCTATAAGCTGGTTATGCCCTGCTAGATATGCAGGTATCAGAACCAAGTCCTTTTTTTGTGGTGGCCCCAGGGCCGGAATTTGGTTTGATGAGGCCCTAAGCTACTGAAGGTCATGGGGCCCTTTCTATGTCCAGCTGTCCTTTGTCAACAACAAATAGTCACTGTTTTTGTGTTGAATATATGCTATATGATAATTTATGGACCTAGTAGGTATCTAAAGTGCAGTTCGAAAGCACTCCCGGGTGCAAGTAGATAAATAGGTACCGCTTACTAGCGGGAAGGTAAACGGCGTTTCCGTGTGCGGCTCTGGCTCGCCAGAGCAGCGATGTCACGCTGGCCACGTGACCCGGAAGTGTCTCCGGACAGCGCTGGCCCCCGGCCTCTTGAGTGAGATGGGCGCACAACCCTAGAGTCTGTCAAGACTGGCCCGTACGGGCAGGGGTACCTTTACCTTTTAGGTATCTAAAGCCATTTGCACATGCAGAATGTAGGCACCCTATATATAGAAATGAGCAAACCCGTGATATTTTAGGGAGCAGGCTAGCAGGCGGGGCCCATGACTTACATCATAGGAGCCTACACAACACAAAACACTGTTGCTGTATGTAGGTTTTATTTTATTTGTTTTTTATCTTATATTTTGGAAATGTACATCCAGGTTTTTTTCCTTTAAATTTTTTGGGGGCCCAAGAGAGTGTGGCCCTAAGCTATAGCTTGTTTAGCTAATATATAAATCCGGCACTGGGTGGCCCCATGCCTTTGTTATTCCCTCCCCAAAGACCTGTGCATCACCCTCTTATTGCTGCCTTTTAAGACGACCTTGAAGACTTGATTCCGGTCTCTGTTTGACTGATGTGCCAATACTTGAGTTTATCTTCACCTGTTCAGTAGGTGGGGCTATTTAGTAAATTGTTGATGTGATTTTATGGAAACTCTTTGTGAATTGCCTTGAGAAGGCTGCACCATGCAAATATTTCTAACAGATGGAACCCCCATGTGGAGAGGCAATATACCTCTCAATGACAAATGTCAGAAAGCAAACATGTCCCACTGACGGTGATGCGATTTTATTTGCTCCTTTTTATCTGTTTTATTGAGATCTCTTGGCTTTAATTCCTTTTATTGTGCCTTGGTACCACTCTGTGATGAAAGGCAGATTATAAATATTTTAAATAAAAAGAAATAACTAAGTAAACCTTGGTGTGGGCCAGCAAAGCACTTTCTATTGTCTTCTGCAGCAGGCAAACACAATCACCAGCCCCCAAAGGTACTAAAAATATTCTCCCTCTTTATAGCAGCGGCAGGGGATCC